TTTATTTAGGCTTAGATTTATTTTATGCACCTATAAATACCCCATGTACTCTTCACAATTAATAGAGTTGAATGTTGAGTCTTGAATTGGTGAGCCAATTGTGAGGGGGAAATGTTGTTCTTACGTGTGTTTAAACAAGGCCATTAGAGCGTGTTTACATACAGTGTCGCAGAGAAGGCCATGAGAGCGTCTTGAAGTCACGGTGTCTAGGAGAAGGCCGTAGTGCGTCTGTTAGATACATCTATCGTGGATAAACGAAGGCCCGAGTGCACGTTTATTCACAACCCAACCATCGTATAAATATATAAAAACACGGTCCGTATAAATTATGCTTACCATCTCGATCAGGCTGTTTATCAGCTATTTGGGTGCTTTCATTGGTATTGTGTCCAAGTCGAGCAGCATTTAGTTGTTCTTCAGTAACATAATCGTCACCTGAGATTTGAAAGTCCTCATCTTCATCAACTAAACCAAACCTACATCTGTTATCATCTTCCATTTCACGCACTCTTGAAATGTTTTCTAGCGGGTTATGTGCTTTCTCCACGTTCTCGACTAGCTGGTTTAGAGGGTCATTTAGTTTGGATAGCTGCATATTTGCTCTTAGTTTCTTTTTCATTCTGAGGAAATTTCCAAGTGACCCTGGTGCGACCATCGTCTTGTCCGTCCCTTTCTTTACTTTTAGATTGTTCCCGACTGCATCTTGACTTGGCAAGATGTCCTCATTACCTACATCCACGTGTTGTTGCGGCATAGCTTGTGAAGATATCCCTCCATTTTTGCAAATTTGAGAGCGTGTTGTCACTAAACTAGCCATTGAAGCGTTGAGGACTTGTGCTCTCTGCATACTCCTTTGAGATTTTCTTATTCCACTAGCCATAACCTACAGCATATATATAGTGATTACACGTAGTTAAATTAACCAATGAAAAAATTAAATGTTTTTCTACATAACCTGTTTTGAACAGGGTCTCAAGATTGTTTGCATCATCTTAGTGACATCCTCTTCCCTTGAATGTTCTCCTTCTTCTTCGTTGGGTATGTACAAATCATTTGTTGTAGTACGCTGCTTAGAACTCACGATTTTTTGGATCTTTTTTTCTCTGTGCTTCATTATATCCACTGCTTCATAAGCAAGTGTCCTGAGATTCAGTTCTTCCATTTTTCTCTTATTATCCATTATCCTCTTCAACCTTTGTCCTTCATAGTCAGCCATCTTAATTTAAACCTTGCAAAATAGATATATAACTACTAAATCGACCACATCATATCATCAAATGCATTTCATATAAGTTTTAACAAAAATACTATTACAATTACTTCGAATATTATCATCCATAGAAACAAGTAATTACATTCCTCCATAAGCCTTTCATTCTGAATGCATAAGAAATTTTCCAATATTTGATTTTATAGATTTTGTAAATATTAGGTTTTGTAAATAAACTGGACCTTGTCCAACATTTTAAACTAAAATGGATATCACAGAGGCAATATATCAAACACTTCATAATCACAAAAAGAGAAAGTTAAAGAAAAACAAGGTGTTTTTGTTCAATCACAACCACAATAAATATTGAGTTAATACAACCTCAATAGCAATGGAAGGGGATGAACCTAAGAATTTTTGTAAGAGCATATTGAGTCTCCAAGAATTTTTGTATTAAAAAATGAATTATGAAATTTTTTTTAGAAAAAAACAAAAGGCACGGAAAGTATAATCCTAAAAGAATAATCCTAGGTATGGCAGGAATCAGGATATGGGGGAATTAAGAATCAAAATAAACCTACCGGATTGCTAGCACAGGAAAAAGAGAGAAGGAGTGTAATCCATTTCAAACCTTTGGGACTTTCTGCATAAAACGCCAATTCCTCGGCCTATATGCTCTTTCAAAGTCAGATTGAAGCTGAAAAGACTCTCCTCACTAGGTCATGTTGATAAAAAGTGAAAAGCGCGAAATTTGGAAGGGAAAGTATATTGGACTTTTGGGTGAAAATAATATCTAACAATTATGAGTAGGATATTTTTTTTATTGTTATTATAAAACTCAAATATTTTTTATGGTAATGTAAGATTATTGAGTAGGATAATATTTTATTATTGAACTCCAAAATTTTGAGGGAGGTTTGTGAAATTGTAAAAATAATTCATAAAAGTAGCTTAATTTTCCTATTTATTTTGCTTTATTCGATTATTTTCGGGATCGGGCTAGTTTTGCTTGACGGAGTATTGGGTCTTTATCGGGTAAGCAGGTCACCCGAATTCTTAAATTTAGGTAAAATGTGGTCTCAACCTAACCCGACCCGCTTCATGTGTAAAAATAAAATAAAATATTTGCACAATTAATTATAATGCAACTAACAATTTAATAACTAAGTTTGACAATAGATAACTATAAAAAAGTTTTATATTTCGTTTAGAATAAATAGTGAGATATAATTATCTATCTTTTAAAGAAATATTTATTTTTTTTATACATGTTTTTTGTGTTAAATAACAAATCTACTAGATAAAATATTATTGTTGATACAAACATAATTTCTAAAAGTGTTGCATGAAAAAAATTATTAAATAATATTTTTTAATGAAAAGATGCAAAAATCGTGTTATAAAATAGTAAATAAAAAAGTATTACACATGTAGTGTCACTCATTTAAAAATGCTACCTAAAAATATTACATATTACTAGAGTGTTACTAAAGTGATGATAATTGTGTTACAAAATAATAACTACAAAAAGTATTACATATATAGTGTTACTTATATAAAAATGCTACATAAAAATATTACATATTAATAAAGTGTTACTAAAGTGTATCAAAATTTTATAAAATAAAAAGTGCTACAATAATATGCTACATAAATTTAAAAATTTAAAAGTGTTACAATGACTATGTTACCTAAAGCAACTTATGGTGTACTGGCCATAGTTGATTTATTCGAGGAGATGCTATTCATTTTGATCTGGAGAGGTTTAATTTACTCGTGGATATATTATTCGATTTATTTGTGGAGGTATTTGATTTATTCGAGGAGGTGCTATTTAATTTATTTTTATGATGATTATTTGATCTACTCGAGGAATATATTTGACTTATGCATGGAGGATTATCTAATTTGCTCGAGCGATTATGCGATTTATTCATG